TTTGAGCCCACTAATAGCCGCTTGGGCGGGGAACATTACCCCAAGATTTCAGCCTTCTAGCTACTCGGATCCCCGAGTTATGAACTTACCCAAAAAAAACTTTGGCGGGCCCGTACGTAGGTACTACAAGTAACCGGGGGCTGGTTTAAGCTCATTAAGACTTACGTGGACAGTGAACGTCTCCGTAAAATTTCAGCTTTCTAGCTTTTCAGATTCCCCAGTTATCAATTTACTCGAAAAAAAATTTGGCGGACCCTTACGCGGGCACCACGCGGGTAATGGCGCCCATTTTGGGGACTAGGGCCCGTAGGTGCATGTAGATTACATTCCTGAAGTTTCAGCCCCGTAGCTTTTATAGGTCTTGAGATGAAAAATCGGTACAGACGCACAGACACACAGACATACAGACAACCTCTCGTCAGTATGCGTTTTCTGCATTGCTTAGCTGCAAAAAACGCACAAAAACCAAAAAAAGAGAAAACAAAAAGCTTGACGTATTCACTTACCGCTGAAGGTTCTGCAAGTTCCTCCACTGGCACAGCTAGCTCCTTGCTTAAGGTTTCATCCGCCAATACGTCATGAGCACTTTTGCTTTTCCACCTCAGCTTCTCATTCGCTTGTTGTAGTTCAATTTCGTCCTCCTCCGCTTCATCACCGAATGAAAGAAGAGAAAGATCCCTGAAAAAAAAAAAAAAAAAAACGCTAGTAAATATTAACAACATAAGTCCTAACATTAGTAAAAGGTTAAAAGGGTGATATACTAAGCAATTAGGGGTGTACACCGATAGTCAGCATGATCTTGCTGAAAACAAGCAATTTACAGCTTAGTAACCTAAACTTCTAACAGAACTACCGCAGGATGATCAAGAGGCGACTCAGCACTGGGCCAAAGTTGTCAGCAACAAAATGGATCAACCAGTAAATTGCATCTGTCCCAAGCATTTCAGGTACTGCTGGACCATAGCAACATCGAGGGTTTCAAGTCGACAGCCCTAGTCTGGTGATATATTCCGACAAAAAATTCTCAAAAACGAACCTTTTAACATTCTTCTTTTTCTCTGCCTTATCCTTTTTCGCTTTTCCCTTCTTAACTGCACGAGGGGCGATATCTTTGAATGGATTAATCAGCACTTCAGCATTCAAAATTTTCTGCACCGAAAGTGGCCTGTCGTCCTCGCCCGTTTCGCATTCTCCCAAACGCAACATATTGAATAATGTGTCACCAACAACCTTTAACAATAACTATTATTGTAGCTTGCCTTATCGATTAGCACAGTACAACATATACCAGTTTCTCCTACATAAAACGTACTGGAGCACTGAGCTCCAATCGAGCTTGCCTTATCGATATCGACTAGCCCAAAATAACGCTTGTTAATTTTTCCTTCATAAAACGCATACTGTAATACTGAGCTCAGTGCTATCAAAACTGTTTCCGTAATCGGCGAAAAAGAGACAAAAGGCAAAGACAAATACTGCATGAACTGGCAGTTCACTTTAGGCAAAAATAGTTTTTAGTTTCACACAACGTTTCATAGTTCCTTTGAAACCCAGTTTGTTATTTGGTCTTCTGTTGTGCTGAGTAGTCATCAGGAAGTTTGTCACTATTAACTGAAGACAAAATAAGCCAAATAGGGCAAAATTTTAAAGATATTCCTGGCATTTCTCCCGCACAAAAATACATATCGAAATTTTAAAACCATAACAAAGTGAAGCTTTGCGATAAGTCAGTCATAAGGCCGCAAAAAAACTGCGGCAAAAACCTTTAAGACCTGTCTATTGCGCCATTCAATTAGTATTTCCAGAGCAACAGCTTGCTCACTCGGCTGTGCATAGGTCGTCAAGGAAATAAAGTTATGTGCGACAGAAGACGAAATTGAAAAAATGACAAACCTTGCCGAAAAGTGAATGTTTCTTGTCGAGATCTGGAGTAGCATTCAAAGTGAAGAAGAACTGTGATCCATTCATGCCGTCGTTACCACTGGCCATACCAACAAGTCCACGACGATTGAACTTTAGACGCTGGTGAAATTCGTTCTGAACAGATGAAAAATATCCACAAATTATATACATATCTATTTTTGCGCTATTATATACATATACGTGCATAGACACAGACAAACAGGCAGGTATTCATGCACATAACAAGAACATCAAGAGTGTCAGGATAAGCGATGCGACGATTCTATGTTAATGACGTTACTGGGATACTTCCATACACCAAGCGCAGATATGCCAGGCCCTTCGATCCCTAACTGCTTATCTCCAACTTAGTATTCAGTGTCGTCTATTCAATGCATTTGCGCCACCACTTCGAAGATTGCCCGAGCTTTCTCGTCGGGGTTCAACAGTTGGCGGCAAGGCGACACACTTGCCTTATCCACTGCATTCCGCTCCCTCTCATGCTCCAAAGAGGTGTTAAACAGCGCACTCCCAAATAAATTTACCTTGAAAGGTGCTGCATAAATACTTTCGCCTCCTTCACCGGTACCTGTTGGATCACCACCCTGAACGATGAACTCTTTGATAACACGATGGAATATAGTACCATTGTAATAGCCTTCCATACATAGCTGAATAAAATTTCGGCAAGCAAGCGGGCATTCCTTGGACCAAAGCTCAATATCAATATCGCCAACTGTGGTCTTCAGGCACACCTTTAAAAAAACTTATAGGATACAACATTAAAAATTTGAATTCAAGAAAAAATTGTGTCTGAGGTAAATTAATTCAAGTAACTCACTCAAATAAATTAAGTTTTAACGCTGAGACTGCAATAAAACAGTCACCAGAATGTTGGGCCTACCATTCAACACATGTCTGTGGGATGGTGTGGGGGCAAAAAATATAAAGTCGTAGCCGACGAAAAAGTTGCCAAATTTGAGATTCAAATTATAAACCAGCTGCTGCTGATTCGTTTCTCTCTCTTAACCATTCCAAGCATAACTGCTCAGACTGAGAGAAAAAAAGTATTGGGAAAGTGACAGCAGCTGAGACAACTCAAACAGACACTGAACAATAAGGGCAGTTAAACGTCAAATAGGCTACGGCGGAACGCAAAAACGATCAAGAAATAAGAGAAAAACAAACTGGCTGAAGTGATAACACGCTTACATAGAGGACCTAACACTGCGAACTTCAGAGCAATTAATTCAATCCTAGCACAACCTACACACCAATGAACGTTAATATCTGGAAAACCTCAAACGGTTGCTAGCTTACGGCCTGGTTCACAAACAGTGCAGCTGGCAACACCTCAAACTGCTCTAAACAATTTTGCAAAATCTGCTCGTCAGAATGTCAGTGATTCTGAGGTTCGCTTCGTTTCTTGAAGGGATTACCGGCTTCTTGGAAAAAGCTCATGGCATCGCCATGACCGTAATGAAATGTTCTTGGTATGTTTGTGTGTTGAACATCATCGCTTCGTCTGGAACGCATGTTGCAACTCCTAGATTGCTAGATCTACCTCCACCGCACCTTCATCCTTCTAGTAGTCCTCATCCTAGATGACAGTTTACCATGCTAATTTAGACATCAGTATCAAAAGAAATGACTGTAAGATGGTGCTATGGTGCATGTTCGAACAAAGAAATCGCATTAAAAAAAAAGACCTGTTACCAAAGTTAAATTGCAAGAAAGTGTAAAGTACCTTGCCATTGGTTGCCGGCTCCAACACATATATATTACTCATTGTTTAATTCTGAAATGTTTTTCGTGTGGCACCTCTGAAAATTTCGAGCCGTAACCTCTCAAATGAGTCGACGAATCTGCCGGCTCTCAGTAAGCAAAATTCGGACATCAGGAAGCAAAGTTTCTGATCGTTTGGTGATGATAACTTGGCGTATGCTTCTAGAGTAATGGGACATTATATCAGATGCATTTCCTGAACAAATGCTCGAGTCCACAGAAGAGAAGATGGAAGAGATCCAAAGAGCAAAATCGCCCGCACAAAACTAAAATTCGCTTTCTTAGTTCCTCCTAAACGCAATAAAAACTGACACCAGTCTCCCAGACTTTCCGGATCAAATAACATACCAACTTCCTAGATTCTCTAACTGCATCCCAGCCACACCGGAGCCCTTCAAAATCTCTCGCTAGGCCCAGATAGTCAGTGAATCCATGCTTTCCCCTGGTTCCAGAACAATCGGCACCGAGAACCGCCTTACATACGTTTTGCAAGCTATCCACTTTCTGCATTTTCTAAATTCATTTGTAAAGCAACAGATACCAGCTTTGGGTTTAAATTTTTGCCCACGAAATTTAACCCAACACTGCTCTTCTGTCGGTGTAATCAACCGTGGAATCATAGAAACATCGATGGCAAGACAAAGTAAAACAAGAAACAGACGCTGTTCAAAGTACCAAAGTATTACCTTGGAGCAGTGGAAAAGCAGTGTTATTTTTGCCAGCAATTACCGACACAAAGCTCTTTTACTTGGCAATACAGTACGAATAAAGCTGCCGAAAACACAACTAATTTGACCAGCTAATTATCAGGTTCTTAACTATTACACAACACGAGTGATACATAAATTATGATCAAAATCCTACAGGTATCTTTTATTTTTAATACAAAAAAAAGCTAGTAGAAGCCGTAGACATGCTTAATACTATGCACCGTCAGAATATTTTGAGAACCGATTTCAACCACGAGCGTGAACGATTTTGATGAAATCAGGCTTCAGTGACGCACCTCCAACAAGAAAACCGTCAATATCTGGTTTTTTCGCCAATTCCGCTGCATTTTGAGCAGTTACTGATCCTGGAGAAGTGAGAGGTTATGGTGAATGGTAAACAAACCATAAGATAAAATAACAGTGTACAACACATGAAAAAAAGTTATTCCAACTAACCAAATCAGAATCCTCCTTATCCTCTCACTATGAGAGGCAAACGTACTCGAAAGCAGCTTGTCTAGCCACCTGTCCCAGGTTTCTCTTTCCGAGGTTGTTTGGAAGAAGGATTGAGGACAAATCTTATCAGTGCAGCATTTTTCATTTATCCGAGATTTTCAACTCGAGGACCAAAGAAGCCATGAAGTTGAAATTATAAGCGGAGCCCCTTACCGGCGTGTGATATCGCAAATTCAGATCCAGCACTCACGAATGCCTATGTATGGGTACGGCCACGTGAACGTTTTGGTGCCTAAATTAATAACTAGGGAAGCTTTAGAATGTTCCTTGCCCGCATTTGATCTCTAAATTTAAATTCAGCCTTCATATACGCCTAGGCCTTGCATACGGATACATGAAAATTCTGGACCAAAAATTATAAACTTTGTCAGGAAAGCTAGGAAGCTGAAATTTTAGGCTACCGTTCCTTACCGTGTACGAACCCATAAATTTAAATTTAACCATACGTGTGCCCACTCTTACGTACGGCCATGTGAAAGTTTCGGCGCTAAAATTAATAACTCGGGGACTAAAAATTTCTATGCATTGCAAACAGTAAACAGCGAACACTTCTGACAGCAAGGTTCCCTTGGAGAGAGTTGCACAAGCGTTCACTGAAAAGAGTGTACAAAACGCATGATCGCACAAGTTACTCTGGTGCGCGCCCCTATTTTATATCTCCCCTACCTCAAGACGTATAAAGGAATGAAGAGAGCTTTATATTTTTGGGCACAGCTAAAGATCAAGTTCTCCAAGCTCCAGCTTCCTAGCTTTGGAAGTTTTAAAAGTGAATCACTGCGACAGATAACAAATAGGTAGGGAGACACAAGTGCAAAGATATGCATCGATATGATGTTTGTAATTTAAAACGTTTTTTAATTTATGCGGAAACGCAAAAATAAATTACCTCCGTAAAGGATACGAGTTTTGTCAGCCACATCGGCTGATACTTTTTCCTTCAAAAATTGTCGAATCCAATCGTGCACTTCCTGGGCTTGTTCCGGGGACGCTGTTTTTCCGGTACCAATTGCCCAAACGGGTTCATATGCAATCACCACTTTGGCCCAATTGACTTTTTTATCAATCAGTGCTTGCACCTGGCGAAAATTGACCTGAAAAACACCACAAAAATTTATGGCTATTCTACAAATTTCTTCGAATCCCTCAAAATATTTCTAATCGATAAAATGTATCATCATAGCCGAAGAATGGCAATATTCGGAACAAGGCGGTAATCCTCAACACACACCAATTAATTAGGTCAGAGCCGACAATTCATTCAGGAAATGAAACGAAGGCCAGAAAATCCCAGAACTGGTCAATGCAGTAAAAGCGAAACAAGTGGAAAAGTTGATCACCGCATAGTTGGGACACCTTGGCTTTGGACCGCATTTGGCCGCAGTGTCGAAGTGATAATAACTGGGATCACTGCTAATTCAGCTTGGATTTCCATCTATACGAATTGGTAACTCCTAAACCGCCTGCGGTTTTATGCTTTCTACACACGTCAATAAATTCTCACGTCTTTCGTTTTTCCAGCTTCTCGTTCATCCAATTTTTCACCGCAACAAAATATCACTTCCAGGCCACTTTCAATAGAATGCACCACTTTTTCAGCGATCAACTCATCCGTCTCACCGAAAATATGACGTCGCTCCGAGTGGCCCAAAATAACCCAGTGCAGCCCCAGATCTCTGATCATTGCTGGCGAAATTTCGCCGGTGAAAGCTCCTTTTGCAACATGAAAAAAAAGGTATTCAATAATCTTGTACTTACACTTCCAGTTGTCGTGCTAGGGAATTCAGAAAAATCTGTCCCAGTTATGTACAACGCAACGCAGATCAAGCTAAATGAAAACTTTTTTTATTCACAATTCCAGTATATGGTTTACTAAGCGGTTTTTTCACGTCTCCATTATCCAGCATATCCTCGTGATTTCACTAATCGAGCGAGATTAGCGAATACTTTCCAAATGATGGTATCTGCGCTCAAGGCTCTGATTAAAATATGCCCAGCTCTTCTTTGTCTCAGAGTTACTGTTCACAGTTATTTTTCCCGATATTTTTCGAAGTTAGGTCATACCTTAGTAAATTCGAAAAATATCTTTCAGAAAAAATATCTTTCATTGAGAAAAAAATAATTTTAATCCTTATCCCTGAACTGAAGATGAAAACCTAAAAAAGTTTTTTCCCAATTTATTTTGAATTAATGTATTAAAATGATTGAACAATCATTCTACAGATCAATCTGATCTGCCTGGGAATATCGCCTCTGCTCATTCTGCAGTGAATTTTGCCGATGTTGCTGGCAGCACAGCCCTATGTTGCAGAAGCGTCGTAATCCATGCATCCAGTGTACAGTATTCTTCTCTATTTTTTTAAACCAAGGTACTGCATATTTGCACGTTCTTCTTGGTCAATAAACGTGTATGTTGTACCGTATTGTAATGTGAGACGAAACTGATTGTTTTCAAGACAACATTCATAAAAAGTTAACTTTTTTGCATTTCACACTCTTTTTCTGTAACACTAAGTAACTATTTTAAACAAAAAACATAATGTGTTCTTGCTGGGTGAAATGAACATTTGATTATCTCAAACAAAAACTGAAAAATCAGTTGCATCGGAGTCTAATATTCCAAAACCTCATTTGTGAAATTAAATAATGTTACCTTGTAGCAGTTCTGTGCAGATACGTGTATGCCAGCATTCAGCTTATCCTTCACATACATCAGATATGGTGCTGGTGGTGCAACAACAACATCCACGTTTGAGACCACTGCTCCTTCATTCAAAAATTTGATGATACCATCGATCATGGCCTAAAAAATAACTGATATTCATCTGAAAATAATCACAAACAAAGCATTTTCAGAGGCAGTGCCCTTGCAAATGCTATTATGCTGATATTAGCTTAATATTACCCACCAAAAATATCGAAATGCAAATAAGGCTGGAAGCATCGGTAATTTGTCGCATGCCGTTGTCCCCCACAAACATTTTTGTTTTCGCCCGAGTTTTTAGAGTACGGCAAAGGCATTCCAAAAGCTTGGCTCCAGCGCATATGCCGCCAGTACCAACTTGCAACCGAAACAAATGTGTGATGATGACGGAGCGACCGACTGTTCCACTAGCAAAGCCGAATTCTTGACCTTCAGCACGCGAGTGGGGATACTACTTTTTACTATAGTATGCCTGCCGCAAGTAAAGCAAAACAAAAAAAAAAGCGTGTTTTAACCGAAGGCTTTTCTAAACGGCTTAAAAACAGGTTAATCGGGCAAAACAATTCATTAGCATCGTGAATTTCTAGCAGCAACCGCATAATACGATTAGAATCAGTACATTTTTCAATTCAGCTTGAAATTCCATGAAGAAAATAAGCGCCAACCTTGTCACCGTTCATTTTCCAATTTCCTCCAACAAGAAATTTGCGCGGCATGTTCGAGCCAGGTAACCTAGAAATTAAAACGTCAAAAGAAATCCTACGTGAAAAATACGGCAGTAGGCTCAACCACGTCGCACTTATAAAATGACTTCGGAATTTACTCCCATCCCTCCTTAACCTAGTTTTTTTTTTTTTTTTAAATTCTCAAATATTTTCGCTTTCACTCCCTTCCAGAAAGTCCAATTGAAGGCCATCCGGCCGGTCTCGATGTTGCCTCCCCATATCCTTTGAGACATGTATCCCAAACTAAAACCATATATCCCAATCCCCGCCTGGTCCCTTCGGTCTAAATTATTCTTCATTGCCCATTTTCGCACTTACCTGCATTAGAATTTTCAATTCCCTAGCCACTTCTCCTTGCTGGAACTTGCACTCTCTATGCTCGCATTCCGCCGTTTTCTCATTTCTCTCCAACTAAATTTTGCATCTGTCTAAACAACAAATCTGCGTAGGACCACCAAAAGATTGTTGCTCAGTTATACACAAATTCCAGAAATGCTGCCATGCCCATGCTAGCAAGTACTCAAAAAGAAAAATCCCTAACAAGTGCCTCAGTATCACGTTCGTGAAGGGTATAAGAGGCTCCTTCCGCAAGAAATTTTTCCCAGATCCTATACAAACAATTTTGCTATCCCATTTTCCAATCCTGAATGTTGATTTGCCCAGGCGCAGGAAGCACGCAATTTAGCAGAAAGCGTACTGGTTGCCGATACGAAGATGCATTATTTGCACAGATTCCCCGCAGGTTTTTTTCGCCAGTGGTACGTTCTTCCCGGCACACGCTTTTAACTAAAAGAATTGGGGCTGGTCACCATGACTGTTAGAAATTATTACAATGACTCCCAATCCATGCCCAAAAAATCCAGCGCCCTGGATGCCTCGGTTGCAGAGTTAAGTCAAATTCCACGTGTTTGCACGTGTGTGGCAACGTGGATGCCTTCAACACTCGCGATTGCTAAACACGGCCCTGGGTAGTGCTTTTCGCCCGCGGTTGGTCAAATACAGTTCTGGGTAGCGCTCAGAAAGTTTCAGCACTTCAGCTTCTTTGGCTGCAGAGTTACGTCAAATTTCACGTGTTCGTACGTGAGTGGCAACGTGAATGCTTTCTTCGC